TTCCAGTGAGCACCTCTGAGAGGGGGTTCGGCAGCGGACGGGACGGAAACACTTTCCTCTCTCTATACCCGTCCGAGGCGTGCACATTATTTACACTAGTACGTGTCGCTTCTGTGAAATGATTACCATGCCCACTTAAAATAACTGAAAGAGCAAAGATTGATTCTTAGTTCCATGTCTTTTCAAAAATATGCTATTTGGCAATTTTTAAGAACTTCTTGAGCTCAGAATGTATGTATTCCACAGTAGCAAGCTGCCCTTTTCAAAAGCACATAATAGAACAAAAGCCTCAGTAAATGTTGCTGTTCTAACTTTGTTTTATCAACATTTTCAGCAATGTCTTCAATGATCAGAAATCAAGAGAAAAGGATACAGAAAGTCAAGGACCAGGAAAAAATGTTACTAAAATAATACATTGCTTGCCTAACCTTTACAGAGAGATGATGCCCAATTAATTGTGGTGTTACTTGTAATTAGTGCCCCGTGAACTTTTTTCTTTTAATGAGAAAATTTAATAAAAGTTACCCTGTCCTGTAAACTCTATTTTGAAATAAAATATTCTTGAATACTCTCCCAGTAAAACTTCAAGCAGTATTAGCTAGTTGTGAAAGTATTCATAACATATAAGGTGTCGATTTGTACTAATGTGTTGGCATAATTATGTATTTTTTAGTATTTGTACTGGTGCTGAGGCAATGGTTATTTTTTTTAACTGAACAGACAACTTTCACAGGAAAGTGGAAGATGTGGGGTGATGCCCAGAACAGCACCAACACCCCACACTGACGGGTTCCTTCTGTGACCCCAAACTCGCCGTGTGTTCTGTCTGTGTTGGTGAGTGTGAGCCGGTAACAAAACACTGGGACCCCTAATAGAAACTTTGAAGAGAGTGTCTCTTCCATGTATTAAGAACTCTAAAGAAATAAAGAAGACGTGTTATTCTTCAGTCAGTGGGTAGCTTCTTCAGAGTGAATGTATTCTGTCTGCCTTAATCAGATTTTAATAAATCAGGGGGTTTTGAGTGTGGAGAGTTTCCCAGCACGAATAACCGATTCTCTGTGGACACCAGCTAGCTAGCTGGCTGTCCCACACGTCAGTTCAGTTCTGACACTATACGGAGTTAATGCCAGATTCTACTGATTTGAGGGCTCAATCTCAAGACTGCTCCCACTTCAGATGCCAATCAGAAGTCCCAGACCAGCGGTACTTTTTGACTAACAGATTGTAAATTGGGGGCTCCTACAACCTATTCCTGAGTCTCAGTAACTTGCTACAATGGGTCATGGAACTTAGTACTTTAGTTACTGTTATTGGTTTGTTATCAAGGATACAACTCAGGAACAGCAAAGTGTAAGAGATGGATAGGGCGAGGTTTGGGGATCTGGAGCATGAGGCTCCCCTGCCCCTTCAGGGCCCCTTCAGGTGTGCTGCCCTCTCAGCACCTTGCCGTGTTCGCCACCCCGAAGCTCATTAAATCCCCTCACGGTCAGGAGCTGCTTAACAACAAGGACGTGTTCTGAGAAACGTGCTGTTAGAGGATTTCGTCACTGTGCAAACATTACTGCGTGCACTTTCACACACCTAGGAGGTAGAGCCAACTACCTGCAAAGGCTGTGTGTGGGACAGACTCTTATCCTGGGCTACAGGCCTGTACAGCGTGTTACCGTACTGAGTACCGTAGGCAGTTGTAACACAATGGTAAGCATTTGTGTATCTAAACATATCTGAACATAGGAAAGGTATAGTAAAAATATGGAAGTATGATATAAAAGATAAAAAATGTACACCGAAAAAGAGCACTTACCATGAATGGACCTCGCAGGGAGGACTAGGAATTGCTCCGGTGGCTGAGTGAGTGAATGGGAAAGGTAGGTTGTTATAGTACACTACTGTCGACTTTATAAACACTGTACTCTTAGTCTACACTAAATTCGTAAAACAACATGAGATTAAATCAAGCGCAAGAGAAAATGATGCAATCGAGATTTGGAAAGCACAAGATGAGGCTGCTGCCAATGTACCAGGGCATACTGTTTTATAGCAAACTTTATTAATAAGTAAAAAAAGTACATTCTAAAATGACAATTAAAATGTATAGTATAGGTAATATGTGAACTAGTAACATACTCGTTTACTATCAAGGAGTATATACTGTGCGTAACTGCATGCGTAGACTTCCATAACATTGGCAGGGAAGTGGGTTTGTGCATAGCAGCATCACCACAAACGTGGGAGTGATGCTGGGATGTTTGGGTGGCTACCACCTCATTAGGTGATAGGAACTTTTCAGCTCCATTATAATCGAATTCGGTCTCTTGGGCCATAGTTGACCAAATAATCCTTACTGGGCACTGGACTGTTTTCAAGAGTTTTTAGAGCTTAGTCTCCTGTTCTCCACCCCTTCCCAGAGATTGATAGGTGGGACTTCCAAAAGTCTGATCACTAGGTCTTTCTGGCGACCAGCTTAACCCAGAGGCTTTGTAGGGGCTCCACCATAAATCACCTCATTAGCATAAACTCTGGTGTGATCATTATGAATAACAAAAGGTACTCCCATCTCCCAAGAAATTTGGAGAGTTTGAGTAGCTCTGTGCCAGGAACCTGGGACAATGACCAAATATATTTATTATACCACATTATACCACATGTGTGAACTGAACCAAACCAAACAAGGACAACAAACACAGAAATGTTTCAGTGGTGCAAAGACAATGGGACAGGGTGACAGTGATACAGGGTGCAGCCAAGGCGGGGGGGGGGGCCAGAAAAGGATTTGGGATGGGGTCCAGAGTCCAGGTTGTGCAGGAAATATTAAGATGTCCTCACCACCCCCAGGGGGTGGGCACAAGTGGAACCAGGGCCATTGAGAGCTGTTTTGCACAGCAACAGTTTTGCAGCTAACCTCAGAATGATTATTTAACATATCTATAACCTTTAACTGGTTTCATAGATATGTTGAATAGCTGTGGCCAAGTTTTGAGCCAGGAAGAAGGGGGTGGCTGCTACCCAGGATGTAACTAGGGGCTGTGCCCCTGAGTGAAAAGCACTTGTGTGAGAGCTTGGAAAAGATGGTCTCCAGGACATGAGGGGATAACTGCCCAGGTGAGGAGAGGGCCACATGGTTTGGGGCAGAGTGAGGACCCCTTCAGTCATGTAGGGGAGAGCCACGCAGTTTCAGCAGAGTGAGGACCCTCTCTTTCCCAGGTGAAAGGGAAAACCACGCAGCTTTGCCAGAATGGAGATCCCTGCAGCCAGGTGAAAAAGAAAGTCATATGCTTTTGGTGGAGTGCGGACCCCTGCAGCTTTGGTAGAAGAGGCCCACGTGGCTTTGGGATGCCCCTTTTGGCCACGTGGCCTGGAAAGCAGGAGAGACTTTGACTGGAACTGGGTAGAAAGAACTCTTGCCAGTGGACCATGAGAGGGGACCACAGTACTTTGGATTAACTAGAGATCCTGCCTGACACAGCTGACGGTGCCAGCAGCCTGAAAGACAGACGTGTGCTCTTTTCCTGATTTACGGTACCCAGAGTTGGGACAGTGGGAGAAGGGAGCGCTGTGTGGGTGTAGATGTATACCCTAAAGGGCTTTGATACTTTAATGGGGACATTGGGTCACTACTTTTAAGTTTGTAAAGCTCTAAATAAACCTTTCCTTTCCTTTTCACAAATCTCTAGCATTGAGAGATGTCTTTCCAATTGGTGGTGGACAGAAGAGTCCAGTAGATATTAGTATTCCGTCCTTGGGAGGGGCCCTCTGTTCTGTACCAGTTTTTGGCATCGTTAGGTGGGCCAAATGTTGCCCCTTCCTCGGAACTCTTGTTCTGTAGCAACAGGAGCCTGGCTGTCTCCGAAGGTCTGCACTCTGTTCTCTGGCCAGACATCACCGAGAAACAGCTGCCCTAGAGGCTGTTTCCCAGCCCCATCTCCCCTCCACTTTAAGGGCACGTGGACAGAGCAGTACGTGGCACTTTCTGGCCAAAAGTGTTAGTAAGCGCTGATGGTTTTTCCTGACTCCGTGTCCCCTTCCATGGGCTGCCTTCAGAGGACGGTGAGGTCCCAGGGCATTGCAGGACAGGAACCTGGGTGACAGTGTCTGCAAGAGCTGCCCTCCTGCAGAAACCCCCTCTGGCTGCTGACTGTTCGGTGAGTAGGAAATGGGCGGTACTTGCAGCCTCCTTCCTTCCATGGCTGCGACCGACAGCAGCTGGCGTGGGCCCCATGTAGCACAGACAATAAACCAAGTTGGGCACGGGAATGCCCACCAAAAAAACCCTCATCTTTCTCCTCAAAATGTCAGTGTTAGCACTCTAAGCACATTTCATTTTAAATAATTTTAAATATGTAACTTAGCACCTATATGTATATATCTCATATCAACTGGATTTGCTGAAAGATTAATTTTTATTTCATCAGGTAATGATAAAATGGCTAATCACAGAACTCTAAAGATGTTTATTATAAATTGTTTTAATTTTACCGAATAGAAATACTTGGGCATTCTGGACAGTAATAGGAAATACCTTCTGAAGACCAGCCTCGCTATCTTAAGTTCATTATAAAGTATATAAGAAATATTTAACGTAAATACTTCTTTTAACATAATTTAACATAAAAATGCTATGGGCCAAAAAGTATCAAGCATTAGTTCTTTTAAGCACTTTCTAATACTATTTTCAGTTGGATTTAAGCTTTTTTTCTGCAAAGTGCATCTGTAATCAAAATTAAACAATATTTCACTCAAAGATGTTCCACTTTTTAAGTTATTTTAACATATAAGAATTATTTCCAAGTATAGGCATGCATCATATCCCTCCAAAGATACAATTTTGAAAGAAATATGCTAAACTTTATCTTCAAAGGGAGAAAAACAGACTTCTTTGCCCCCTGATGTTTGCTTTCTTCCATGTCTGTTATTAATGGAGGAAAATATTAGTATTTTATTTTACATCTAAGCTATTATGGTACCAAGACTTAGACAATAATTCAGACATTTAAAAAAGATATTAAAACTCAGGTTTTATTTTTTTCAGTTGTAGTAGCAAAATTCAAATGTTTATTTCTTCTCAGAGCAGAGATGCTGTCCTTCCCTGTCACTGTCCTGTTGCAATTTGGTTACCCAAGATAGCCACAGAAGGGGAGGGGAGCGGGTGGAATGACTGCTAAGGGCTGGCCCATCTGTCGGTCCCTGTGGTGGGCAGAGATGGCTCTGCAGAGGCCCAGGAGTAAAGGAGGGGTGTGTCCCTCTGTGCAGTCAGCTGTCCGCATCTGCACCTCCCAGCCCTCTAAGAGCTCTCATTCATTCCACCTGGCTCTGCGCCTGCTTCAGCCCTATTCCTGTTCCCTTTCCTCATGGGCTGTTCCTGATGTTCCTACAGTAGCTTTAGATTACAACACAAAGACACACTTGCCACCTTCAAACCAGACCAGGCAGGTAAAATCAAGCCTCCCTAATCACATCTTCTAATAATTTTCTAATCACTGTTACCTATCTTTTAACACAGTGTAGTAAAGAGAACATTTCTTCAGCTGCACCATGAGGAAATCAGCTCTTTGAATGCAGCTTGTTTCACTCCCTTGGTCTAAGGATCACCCGAAGGCTCGACCTTGAACCCTGTGCAGCTGGTTTGCTTTTGTGCTCCCTGACCAGGGCACAGCTGAAGATTAGCCAAGTCACTGCCCAAGAGGACAAAGCCCACAGTGCGGATGAATCAGCATAAATCTATTCATCAATGCTACAGAAAAAAGTCCTACTCACTAGAAGCATTATCTGTCTATATATCTACAGGTGCATAGATATATAGATAGAGTTCTGTGCATTAGATGCAAGCCATTAGTAAATCAAACAACTCAGTTAAACTTGGAGTTATACTTCATTTTAAATTATTGAATGTGCTCCACAACCTTAGCCTTTTCCACATTCTGCAACAGCTTCTTCAGTACTTTGCAAACTGAATCAGTGAATCCCCCAACACTTGTGAACCAACTTATCCTCATGGCCAGTCTCTAGAAACCTATTGCTGCATTCTTCCCAGCGTGTAACTTCCCCATTCTCCACCACCACAAACTTCCATTCCACCACTGTATCTGCTGGCAGGGAGACAGAACGAGACCAGAACCCACCCTGGCTGTACTGGAGGGGGATGTAAGTGTTCCATCTCCCAAGCTTCTCGTGGTCTCCAGTCACTGCAATGAATTGCACACTAGCACTTGTGATATAATGGACCTGGAACCTGACACTAACTTGCTGAGACTCTGAAGTCTTAGCTATTTTCCTTTTTGTTTTAACATCCACTTTCTGACCTCTTGTTTCCACAAGAGTGCGTTTGCCATACTCCAGTCCTTGATTTGGGTTTAACATTGGATCAAGACTGCCACCCAAACCAATGTCTCCCCAAGATGAGTGCCTGGATACCATCTCCCAGTCCTCCTGGTCAGCCGAGTCCTGACTGTCCACTCGTGCAAAGCTCACTTCCTCTTTACCTCTGTCCATGAGCAGGTGGCTAGAAGACAACTTCTCTGCAAAACACGGAGCTGCGTTAGCAGGTGTATCTTGTCCTTTTTGAACTCCCCGTTCTCCTACACAAGACTCACCACTTTCATTTCTTGAGGTTTCACAGCAACCCTTAGAGTGACCAGTCGCAGATGCAGCTATAGATTGTGTGTCCGGAAACCTTCCAAAAGGAACATGCTGTCTTGAATTGCCACAGTCCCCATGTTCTCCAGAAGGACTCTGCAGTCTCCATGCCACATCCTGCATGCTACCAGGGCCTTTGGTCTCGGAAACCAAACGTCCATTGCTTTCTTGAAGATGCTCTATAAAAACAATGTAATAGACAGTTCTCATGAGAAACAAGTAAGTCGGGTGGAGAAAAAGCTTAGTTATTGAAAACATTACCAATAATCAAGCTGCATTTCACAAAATCGATCCCTGCTAAAACCAAGTACCTGATTGCCTAGCTCAGACACTGAACCAATGCTGTGTGCTAAGAATGTCCATGTAGATACAATAATAAGAGGCTTATCCCAGAGTGTTGAATGAAGTGACAAGTTGTAGAGGCAAAAGTGTCACCTGCCATGGTCCTCAACTTCTGTATTCCAGGCCATACTGGCATGCAAACAAGTCAAGCTGTTTGGCCCCTATCATCAAAAAATGCTGTCCAGCCTGTGGGGCAAAGGGCTGGATGGCTACCCTACAGACCAGCGGTGTCCACTCCTGAGCTAAGCAACTGCATGCAGCCCACGGACCAGCTCTCACAGTTGCTGGCCTGGCCGCTGTGGGAATACAAACGACAGCCGCGCATCGCTGGGGGTGAGGGGGCGGAGAGGGCTGGTTGCTCCTTGCCTACCCCATGTGCGTGGGGAATCTCTTCAACAAGCCGTAGGCTGTTCCCATCCTCTCCCACTGTACACATTTTAAAATGTTCTTAAAAGTACACGATCCAAGCTCTCTAAAGATTCCGTTGCCTTCTTGGTCACTTCAGTAGTAATCTAAATTGCTCCTCTACGAGATCAAGATCTTTAAAGTCATACTGTCTTCACAGATGGGTTTTTGGGAGTGGATGGGGGTCGGGGTGGAGAAGATGGTCTTTAATATTCTCTTTAACGGTGGGGTGGTGGGGTTCGAAGTAAGAGGGAAACAAATATTACTCTGAATCCCCCCAATCTTTCAACCTAAAACTCAAGGTCAGATAAAGGAAAATGAGCGCTCTGCTCATCCCAAACCAATGGCAGGAAAGGCACAGGGGCAGATTTTCAAGTAGCTTCTCGCGAACAGCATTGCACTAAAAATAAAGTGCACAGATGTTATTCTCACCAAAGCGGGATCCAGGCAACGGCGACTAACCCGGCGAGGACGCTGGCAAGTAAGGGCTTCTGCCAGTGTTTCCACTTTGCTTAGCATGCCCTCCCTAAAATGTGGAGATTTAAACCTGGTTGTCAATTCGAGGTTGCGTCCGCTACTAAGAACCCTTCCTAAGTCTTTTCCCGGGAAATAGACAACCGTGCGCTGTTGCGGGGAGCATGCGCACGAGGGCCGCCAGGTCCGAACCCGGCGCCGTGGCGCAGCCCCAGGGCTCCATCCAGAACCGGCCTAGCGGCCAGCGTCCGACCTGAACTTTGCCTTCCTGACAGAAGCAACCAGAGAGCGGGGCGGGGGGCGGGGGTGCTCACTCTTCGCCTGTTGCCAAACCCAGCTCTTCCGTGGAGTGAGGGATGGGAGGGCATGAGTCTGTGCAATTGACACTGATAAGTAACCCTGCTCGACCAGAGACTGAAGAGGGTTGCAGTCCCCCTAAACCTCCGCACAACTTTCTGAAGCCGGGGAAGGAGGGGACGGCGCCACTGCGGGCACCCGCACTGCACCACGTGCCGCCCAGCGGAGTCCTTCCCTATTTGAGGGGCAGGGGCAGGTCCTCAGGGGCGGGCGCTGGGGACCCAGACTGTGGGGCGCCGCCCTAGGACCAACTGCCAGGGCATTTCCAGGGCCTCGGAAGGGGGCGAGAAACCTGTCCAGTGCGAGGGTCCTACCCCAGGCAGGGAAAGCTAGTCCAGGGACCGTGTGGCTAGGAACGCTCCAGGAGGGATTTCAAAGACCCCTGGCGGATGTGCCCTGGAGCGCGGAGAGGAGAATACCTGGTTTGGTGACCAGCTCGGGCCTGGAAGCTGCGGGACTCAGTCCGCTGCCGCCACTAGGATCGCCTCCCGCAGCCACAGCCTTCCCTGGAGTGGCGTCCTGCTCCTGCTCCGCGTCGCCCTTCTTCCCCTTGTCCCGGAGCAGCCAGATGACAAGCGCGCCGGCCAGACCCCCTCCGACCAGCAGGGCAGACCAAACGGCGCCCATGGCTGAGAGGCCGCAGCTGCGGGGGACAACGGGACAGGGACGCGGGCTCAAGTCACGAAGGCAAAGCCACACCTACCCCGCCCTCTCCAGCCTTTTAAGGTCCTGGTTGGCCCACGCTCCCGCAGGGAGGCCAGCCCTCCGGGTCCAAAACTCAACTTCCCAGCTCCGCCCTGGGGCTGCAGCCCTAAGCTCTGGCTGGGCGACTGGAGCGCCTTCTTTTTGCAACGTTTTCCATTTTCGACCACGCCACTCGTCGGTTCTAGTGCACAGCGTGTCCCATTCCAAGAGCGTTTCGCAAGCCTGAAGAACCCAAATGCGCACAGCAACGCGCGCAAAAACCAGTCCCGCTCCACCCCTCTGCCTTTGCCTCCTCCGGACCAAGACTCAGCAGCAGCGCAGCGAGCTAGAGGCGGGAGCTCCCCAAACTTAGACACACGGGAGGCTACCGTGCGTTGGTGACAGGCGGGACTACGACTCCGGCTGCAGCGGTAGCTCTGCCGCCGTCTGAGTCGGGTGAGCTGGGAGCTCTGTGAACGCAGTGACGGGGAACCGGGGCATCTAGCTGAAGCTCCAATCGGCCTCCAGTTACACGTGCTTTGCCTTCCCAAGCCTCTGCCTTCAAAGGATTGGACTGAGAGTTGTGCATGTACAAATGCCAGTCATCTCAACTACTTCCAGTCCTTGCTTCTTCCCCATCTTCTGTTGGGGGGGGGGGTGATGGTTGCGAAATGCGCACACTCAGTGACAGACTGGATGTTGCCCAGGGACAAGCTCCTACGATGAGCTTGTTAATAAGAACAGATACCCTCTTTGCGCCGTGTACCAGTTGTATATATAATGCATGCATTTGATTTGATCCTCACAAACACCACCACCGTGTGATCTAAGAATCTGCACACCTGTTTTATTAAAAAGCAAATTCCAACGTAGTAAATTTGAAGATCTAATTGGGTTTATTAAGCAATTTATGAGTGGCGCAGCATCCCATCTAGCAACTAAAAGGGCGTTCTGAGGCCTTGTACAAAATGAAGGGTCTTGTAGAAAGAAAACTGGGGAAAGAGAGGCATTATGGAAAGAAAAGGAAGGGTAATTATGGAGTTGGAACATCTTTGGGGGGGGATGGGGGAGGTATTATGTAGATTGCCTCTCCTTCCCACGGGGTAGGGGGACACAGAGGCTGACCCGCAGTTAGGTTGGGAATTCAATCTAAGGTTGGTATCGTGGGTTTTTAGCATGAATAACGCCCTTTGGGGCCAGTGTGTATGTGTGTGTGTTCTTCAGCAGTTTCTAAATTAACTCTTCGGCTGATCTGATAGTTTAACACAAATTCTTTTTTTAAAAAGATTTTATTTGATACAGAAGGGAAGGGAAGGAGAATGAGGGGGGAGAGACATCAATGTGTGGTTGCCTCTCGCATGTCACCTACTGGGGACGTGGCCCACAAACCATGCCTGTGCCCTGACTGGGAATCGATCTGACCCTTTAATTTGCAGGGTTAGCGCTCAACCTACTGAGCCACACCAGCCAAGTCTACATACCAACTTCAGGCTAATGATTCCCACTTTTGTATCTCCAGGGTGAGACTTTCCTTTGAACTGCATACTCCTCATGCAATTGCTAAGGCCATAGCTGACAAATAGCTGCCTTGGAATAATTACTAAAGTGGCTCCCTCTGGTAAATGGCTCACATGTGCCCATGCTTGTCAGGCAGCAATCCGTCATGGGACGCCAGGCTCAATCCCTGGAGTTACTGGAGGGCTGGTGCATGTCTTGGTGCAGGAGGTCACGACCCCGCAATTATAAGGGAGTGGGGAGGTGGGGGGAGGTGAGGAAGGAGACCACCAACCGGGCTTTTCCGCTCCTGGATGGTAACAGACAACTCAAACCAAACTCACTCAAATCTGAACTCCTGAACTTCTTGCCCAAACCTGCTACTCATCCTGCCTTTCTCATCTCAGAAAGTGGTGACCACATCTTTTCCCACTGCTGAAAGAAAAACGTCAACTTAAGAGTCATCCTTGACTCTTCTCTTTGTTCCCTCTCGCAGTAGGCAGTTGCAAATTCTGCCACTCTTTCCTCTAAATATATTCAGAATTCTACTTCTCTCCACAGCAAATGCCATTCTGGTCTGCCACCATCATCTCTCACCTGAGAGGTTATTGCAGTCACTTCTCACTGCTCCCCCTGTTCCTACCCTTTAGCCCCTACTAGGGCTGCTGTTAAAAAACATTCTCATAAACTGCTTCTCCTCCCAACACTCTCCAATTGCTCTACAGCTCTCGGTGAAAACCTCTAGATCCTGGAAGTCACAAGGATCTGTCTCTCATGACCTCTCTGACCTCATAGCCATCTGCCCCTCCTCCAGTGACACTGATTTCCTGGACAGAGTCATCTTCCCCCAGACAGCCATCCATCCAGATGTCTATCCTCTCTCCCTCACCCTCTTCAGGTCTTTGCCCAAGTGCCACCCACCCTGTGAGGCTCTCCTTGATAATCCAGTTTTAACCATAACCCCCACGCCCCATTTCCTGCCCCTGCTTGATTTTTCTCCTCAGCATTTAGGGCATCACCTCTAATATACTTCTTAGTCCATGGATTTGTACTGTTAATTTTTCTTTCTTCTCTTTAGAATATCAACTACATGAAAGCAGGGTTTATTGTCCTTTGTTCTCTGCTGAATTCCCAGCACCTAGAACGTTCCCAGAGTGGTGCCTCAAAAGGTACAGGCTGAGTGAATGAATTAAAAGCTCCACATATTCTGCATCTGGAGCACTATGGTCATCTTCTTTACACGGATTCTACGAGCATTTTTAAATGCAACTCAGGTGCTACCTTTTCGTCAAGGTTTCATGTCTTCACCTAATTAGGGATTCAACAGTAGACTTTTTAAAGACCTCTAAAGTTTAAAACCACTGAAAACTACCCACACATCTCACATTAGGCAGCCTTAAGATAACAAGACCAATCTTCAGATGAGTATGAAAATATTAAAAAGTGGTGGTAAAACTGTATTTTTAAGAAAATGAACATCACTCTGTAAAACAGCATTCTCTGTGGACTGTCTTTTATGGATGCCAGCTCCATTATAGAAACTGTCTTGCTAACTGGTTCTTAAATTTTGAGTCTATGATAGATATAATTAAAACCAGAATTTTGAAGAAAAATTTAGATTTGTTCTACATTCTGTTGTCAAACTAAAAATTGATGCTATAGAATGTTACAGATGCTATAGTTACAGACTCTAAAGCCAATGGAAAAATTTTACAAATAAGATGGATATCCTCATTTTCTTTTTATTTCCTTACTGATAACTTCAGTTGCTGTTTCATGGGTCAAAGTATTTTTTATCAGTGTGCTAATGAGTAAAATGAGTGTATCTGTAAAATCTTGGACTGTAATCCCCACAATTCATTTCTAATACCCAGAAGGCTCTTCTTAAAGTTTTTTTGTCATCAATTGCTATTGCATTGATTTAAAATATAACTGAAAAATAACACAATTCTTCCCAACCCATTAGTATCAGATTTATCATGCAGTATTTTAAAACAATATTATTTATTTTTTAAGTGTGCATTCTTTTTTAAAGATTTTATTTATTTATTTTTAGAGAGAGGGGAAGGGAAGAAGAGAGGAAGAGAAACATCAGCGTGTGGTTGCCTCTCGTGTGCCCCTCACTGGGGGACCTGGCCTGCAACCCAGGCATGTGTCCTGACTGGGAATGGAACCGGCAACCCTTATGGTTTGCAGGCCCACGCTCAATCCACTGAGCTACACTAGCCAGGGCTAAAAGGACATTATTTATTTGCCTTTTCTAAACTTCAATGTTGATTCATTAGTTTTTTGTTGCTGCTTTAAAAAATACTCTTACAACCATATTTATTAAAAGCCTATAGCCACATATTCTAAAAATATTCTTACAGCAGCAGTAATACTGTTTATCACTATACAATTGTAAAATAATCTTCTTTGCCCCTATATAGAAGACTGTGGAGCCTAGGAAGGCAGAATCAGTAGTGATGAGGGAGGAACATGATAAGTTCTGTGAAATGTGTTAAATTTAAGGCACTAGCACGGGGCTTTTCCAGGGGTCTGTAGTTTAAGAGGAGACACTGGAAATTCCTCATACACCGGTGGCAGTTACACCCATAATAAAGATTAATGTTCTGAAGGGAAATCAAGAATGAACCTAACTTCAGCCCTTTGCATAATTTCAAGAAGAAAGGTTAAAAAGCTGCTTCCGTGTTGCTAAGTTATATTACAATTATATCTGGTGTCATATTTTAGAGGCCATAAGATAGTGCCCATGTTCTAATGATTATTATCCTAGGAAGTAGAATACAAATGGATAGGTACAGATATGGATGGATATTTTCAAGTGTTGTGTGTGTGTGTGTAAACTCCTCCTCTTTTCTTTAACCTCATGCAAGAAGACTGCTCGAGCACTCCAGTGGACAGTGATGTGGTGAGGGCAAAGCAGTGGAAAGTAGCTTTGCCTGCAGGGCTGCAGGCATTAGAGAGGGTGGGAAGGAAGAACCAGGGAAAGGGATTGGGGTACTTGTTTCCAAAGTCAGGTAGAGAAGGCAGTGGGGAGGAGGGAACAGGGAACTTAAATGCTCAGTAGTTTAAGTGAATAGAGGACTAAGAAATTTGGGTTTGATATACAAGAGGTCATCGGTAACTGCAGTGTTTGTGGGTATAGGAGTTGTTTCAGAAGGCTGGCTGTCAATGTGGTAAAGGCTGTGCCATCCATCTTTGAATTAATCCTTTCTCAAGAAATTTGAGGCAAAAGGTAGTAGGAAAGAAGTTGAAGTGTTGCTTAGGAATAGAATAAGACCCAAAGGAAGTTCTTTTAAAAGGGAGAGCGATCTAAGCATGTTTGTAGGCAGGAAAGAGTCGGTGGCTATGAGAGAGGAAATACTTGCTGGGAATTCCATAAGGGAGAAGAAGCCATGGGTCAAGCACACCAGTGGAAGCGCTGGCCTTGGATGAAAAAAGGAGAGGAGACAGACTTGAAAAAAGGAAGGAGTGGGCATCAGAAACACTTTGAGGTGCCAAGCAGGCAGGAAGTGAGG